CGAGAGAGGAGATAATGAAGTATATCAGGAAGAAGGACGACCAGATGTGGCTGAACCAAAAGAATGTAGATCATACAAGCTAAGAGAAAAATGCAATCAACTAAGTGAAGGACAAAAAGTGTCCCCTGGAGTTGGCAGTTGGGTCACTGGAATCTTAGTGACTGTAGTTTCAGATGAACCATAGCAAAAGTAAAAGCTATCGTGACCAAATAAAAATGCTTCGCCTTGAAACTATGAATCTAGAAAATATGATGACAAAACAAGTAAATCACTGTCCTGTCCGTTCAACTGACACTTGGCATTTACCCTGCTATTTCACGGTGGCTCCTGCTGGCGTCCAACCAGTTACTTTGTGACTAGGATGTGATACAACATCAATAATGTGGACTAAAGTGAGTAACTGCCTGAAAAACCTCATTGGCCCCCAGAACAATCCTGGTTTCTTCACTGCACTTCTATAAGCCAGTGGTGCTTAGGGAAGGAAGGAGCCACCCCACCTTTATCTGTGCCTGCTCCGTGTCACAGCTGAATCTCTGTTTCTCACTTCTCTCACAGGCCTGCCTTCTACTCTCTGATACAAGGTCATCATAAAGCTAGGGATCTCTTCAGATGAGAAACAACTGGTTTGTGGCAATTCCCCGCTAAGACCATAAAAGCAAAACAGAAGCTAGGAAACACATCGTGGTGTGGGCTGGAAAAAGCAGATCTCATAAATGATCTCACCCACAACGTGAGCATGCTCTCTGCAACCCCTTTCACATGTTAATTCCTCTGTGTCATGTTTCTAACTTCTCATCCAAACCCAACAGAGTAGCTTAAATCTATACTATTTTTGGATTTAACAATTTTTTATGGTTTGGGGAAATGACTACATCGAAAGAATTTCGACTGTCATAAACAGTGAGTAGGTTAGTACCCATACAGCTGAGTTATGTCTCTAGGGACTCAGGTGAACACAAATAGTCTTTTTATTGAGATTAGTTTCAGGTTTCAACTGCACTAGTAAGGAAAATACAAAATTAGAGAAATAAATATTTTAAGAGAAGCGCCAGCAGTCTCCATTTAAATTTGTGACTCCCACTGAGATTTATGTTTTAGTGAGTCACACGATGAAAACATTACAAGAGCTTTGCTTATCAAAAGTTATCCTGCACATGTTACTCCAGTAGGCTGTGAGGCACGGAGCGACTAAGATGATGAAGAATTCATCTACTACTCTCTTGAAAAATGGCATAAACGATGTTTGTCTTTGTCATTCTTTGCTGATGATACGCAGGCAAACCATTCACCTACTATCATTTTTTCTGTGCTAATAAACCCAATTAGGCTTGAAGCAGCAAAAATGAGTATCTATGTACAATTAAACACGGTTTCAACAAAAATAAGATTTTGTGTAAAAGGATGGCATTTTTTAAAAGAGTTTTTTGTTTTTATAAAGCTAATATATATTTACTACAGAACATTTGGGAAATGCTCAAAAAGAAGAAAATAAAAATCATCCATAATCCTACCTCCTCACCCCCAGGTATAGCCACTGTTAAATAATCGCACGTTTTTAAAAGGAAAAAATATTACTCAGGAGTAATGAAAAATAAAAAGTCAATTTAGCTTAAAGTTTAAAGTGAAATAAAGGTTTTTTTTCATGCCTACAAGGCTGTAGGCATGAAAAATCTAAACCGAAATGGCCACTGTCCCATCATTAGCACCTCCTGCTAGATACACTGTCCTTGCCTCAACCCAGTTATTTTGAAAAACTTCAAACCTATAGAAAAGCTGAAATTAAGCCCAAATCACCTAGACTCACCAACTGTTAACATTTGGCCACATCTGCTTTATCTCTTTCTGTATACACATACTTTTCTATTCTTGTTAGTTGTTAAGCACTTGAAAGCAAATGCAGATATCATGACATGTCACCTTTTGAGCACTTAAACATGTCTTTCCTAAGAACAAGAACATTCTAAGGGAAAGTAATTTTTGTGGATTAATCAAAATTTGCAATTCTTTTTGTTTAAAGACTATTCATTTTGAGAGAGAGAGGGAGGGAGAGAGCATGAGTGGGGAGAGAAGGAGGGAGAAGGAGGGGGGGAGAGAGAGAGAGAGAAAGAGTGAGGGGGAGGGGCAGAGGGAGAAGCAGGCTAGCAGACACCCCGCTGAACAGGGAAATATGGACGCGGGGCTCGATGCCAGGGTCCTGGGATCGAGGCCCGCATCAGGCTCCCTGCTCAGCGGGGAGTCTGCTTCTCCCTTCCCCCTGCTGCTGCTCCCCCTGCTTGTGCTCTCTAAAATACAGAAAAAAATTTTTTTTTAAAGATTTTATTTATTTGAGAGAGAGAGAATGAGAGAGAGAGCACAGGAGAGGGGGAGGGTCAGAGGGAGAAGCAGACTCCCTGCCGAGGAGGGAGCCCGATGCGGAACTCGATCCCGGGACTCCAGGATCATGACCTGAGCCGAAGGCAGTCGCTTAACCAACTGAGCCACCCAGGAGCCCTCTAAAATAAAGAACATCTTAAAAAAAAAATTGTAATTCTATCTAGAAGACTGACCAAGATAATGGGGGCAGACTCTGTAACACTGTGATTAGCCTTAAGCTTTAAAGCTAATTTTCTTCCTCTTTGCCCCTCATTGTGACTCCTTCCTCTTAGTTTCTCAACCTCACCACCAATCGACAATTTGAGCCAGACAATTCTTTGTTGGGGGGGCTCCGTGTGTGTTGTAGGACGTTCAGCAGCATCGCTGGCCTCTAGATGCCAGTACCACTCCACCCCCAGCTGTGACACCCGAACGAGCCTTTGGACGTTGCTAAATGCCCCTCCTGGGCAAACAGCCCCGGCTGCAGAAACTCTGCTCTTGAAGAACGGATCCCAAAAATCCAGATGAGTAGCAGCAAGAATAAGGACAGTGTGCATTTATTTCCTGAATGCTTACCATGTGGCAGCATGTTCTAGGCATTCTGCATGTATGAAAATCATTTAGTCCCTAAAACGAGCCTCTCACCTGGGTGGTGTAGCCCCATCTCACAGATGAGGGGGTGGACACGGTGAGACTGAACGGCTTGCGTGAGGCCACACAGACCCCGAGTGGCAGCGCGGGGCTTCGGGCTCACCCGAGCTGCACCCGCAGCTCCTGCTCAGGCACTTGGCCCCGAACGTGCCCTCACATACTTACTCCCCGCTGCCTCATTCTTCTCTTTCCTGCCGATGCCAATCCTAAGTCTATTCTGCACAAACGCACTCTACGTCAGGCTTCACACTGCTCTGATACCACCTAACACAATGCTAGTGTTCCTGGGCTCCTCACAATAACATGACTCCCCCTTCGGGAAGAGTTCTAGGAACCGCAGGAAGCCTGAGGTTCTGCCCATGCTCCTTCTGAGCAGAAAGTCTCATTGATGACTCGCTTCAAGCCTCAAGGAGCTTACCTACTAGTTAATATAGGAAAAGGGCTCACACCAGGTCTGGCACATGGTAAGTACGGTCTCAGTGCCGGCTCCTTTTGTCCCTCTAGGACGGAAGCTGCTTTCAGGGCAGGGATCTTTGTACTGTGTCCTCACAGAGCCCCGGTGCTGGGCACACACTAATTTCTCAAATATTTTCTTTCTTTTTTTTTTTTTTTTTTTTTTTTTTTTAAGATTTTGTTTATTTATTTGACAGAGAGAGCCACAGCGAGAGAGGGAACACAAGCAGGGGGAGTGGGAGAGGGAGAGGCAGGCTTCCCACCGAGCAGGGAACCCGATGCGGGGCTCGATCCCAGGACCCTGGGACCATGACCTGAGCCGAAGGCAGACGCTTAACGAATGAGCCACCTGGGCGCCCCTCTCAAATATTTTCTGAGTAAATGAATACACAAACCAAAGAATGGCTTCCTTCAAAACCTGAGATCCAACACTTAGCGAATACGACTTAGCTAAGCCACTGCTCTTAATTAAAAGTAAAAGATACTTTTGATGGGACATACTTCTGCCCCTCCCCCTGCTCGTGTGCTCACTCGTGCTCTCTCTCTCGCTCTCAGCTACATAAATAAAATCTTTAAAAAAATAAATGTTTTTTAAGCAGAAGTTTGTGTACAGGTGAAATAAAGGAGATCCCTGTCACATCTACAGAATTGACATATATAGTTTCAACTACTTGTACTGAACGCCAAAGATCCAGAGCATATGAGATGTGTTGTACAAGGCAAACAGAACCCACAAGACCAGCGTTGGGAAAATGTTTCTTGGTTCGTCAGCAGAGCTCGGCAACGGTCTAGCTCCCATGATTTAGCTCAGCTTTGACATTGCAGGACGAACTCAACAGCTGATTTACAGTGACTCCCCAAGATGCTTGAGAAACTGAACCCTATGTGGTTCCAAAGCCCTGAACTGAGGAATGTACTCAGACTAGACTGAACTAGCCTAGGGAAGCTGAGGTGGATGGATGAGTAATCCGCTCTTGCCCACCACACGATCCTCTGCAACCACCCTGCGGCTTAACCGCAGGCTGACGTGGGCACTTGGCAGGTAAGTGAGGGGGTCTCTAGGACACACCTACTCAAGACTGGACCTAGGTGACAGCTGTCTTTTCAGAAATGTTCCACAACCTCGAGAGGTTTTATTCATCTTGGAAATGTGGCCAATCTCTTTGCAATTACCCTGCCTGCACCCTACCACCCCCACCCTCTGCAGATAAATAAACGACCTGATTCATTCAAGTGGTATCTGGGTCTCGTGTTTCCATCAATCCATGCCTATTATTATCCTTTGTCACTAAAACAGTCATGCAGTTCTCAATCCACTGAATAAACCAGGCAGTGCCTTTCAGAAAGTGTCATTTGGGACCCTCTGAGGCATTACGGGGCTGTGAAAAGGGATGGTGCAGAGTGCTACGTTTCAGTAATCTGTGCACAAAGTTGGCGGCCCCATCCAGCACTCTGAAGAGCTGTCCTGGTACAGCAAAGCATCAACTGCTGGCCTCTGAGAGCACAGCACCAGGCCACCACAGCCCTTCCATTACACCCCGTACCTCAGGCAGGATGAACTGCTCCACCGGCTTGTACCACAGCTTGTTCACCTGCACACCACAGCTCGGAGGGCTGAAACGAGCCACGAAGAGGGCCTCCTATAAATGGGAGGTAGGGGGTCGGGGACAAGAAACGGGGGAAAAAAAGAAAGACTCCACGTTAGACATTGCATATTCGGCAAGTTTTCAAACATCTTCTATCTTGGGCAGCTTAATCCTCGATGGCCCCAACCAGAGTTAATATGGGTCGAAAATGATGCTGAGACATCATTTGCGTTTTCCAGTGCAATCACGTTTATTAAGTAGATATTTAAGATAACAAAAGCTGTCTTAAAGTTCCAAAACATGAAACAAAATCCACACAACCTTATAAAAAACCAAAGCCCACCTTGAAATGAGGAGCATTAGGGGAGGTGTGAGGTGTTAAATCAAGCTGAATTATTAGGCTTAACCCCAAGGGTTAAGAAGAAACTGAAAGATCACATATTTCTACACAGAACAAAGGTACTCCAGGAGCCCCCCTTCAAAAAGAACCTTTAGAAGAAAAAATGCACAGAAACAAAAAAGGGAACATAAGAGAGGGCTGATTGCCATTATGTCTACAGGCACCCCGCATTAACTGCACTTGGCTTTACTGCGATTTGTGGAGTGCTGTGTTTTTTACAATTTGTGGCAACCCCTCAATGAACAAGTCCAGAGGCGACATTCTTCCGACAGCATTTGCTCACATTGAGTCTCTGTGTCACATTTTGGTAATTCTTGTAATATTTCACACTTTTTCATTATTATTATATTTGCTTTGGTGATCTGTGATACTACTTTAATTGTGGGGGGGCCATGAACTGCTCCCAAATAAGATGGCAAACTTAATTGATAAACCCACTGACCAGCACTTCCTCATCCCTCTCCCTCTCCTCGGGCCTCCCCTATTCCCTGAGACACAACAATATTGAAATTTGGTCACTTAATACCCCCACAGTAAGTGTTCAAGTGAAAGGAAGAGTTGCAGGTTTCCCACTCCAAATCAAAGGCTAGTGTGGTCCACAACAGCCAAACTGTGGAAAGAGCCTAGATGTCCATCCACAGATGAACAGATAAAGAAGATGTGATATATACATACAATGGAATATTATGCAGCCATCAAAAATGAAATCTTGTCCTTTGCAATGAGGTGGATGGAACTAGAGGGTATTATGCTAAGCGAAGTAAGTCAATCAAAGAAAGACAAGTATCATATGATCTCACTGATATGTGGAATTTAAGAAACAAGGCAGAGGATCATAGGGGAAGGGAGGGAAAAATGAAACAAGACGAAATCAGAGAGGGAGACAAACCATAAGAGACTCTTAACCTCAGGAAACAAACCGAGGGCTGCTGGAGGGGAGGGGGGTGGGAGGGATGGGGTGGCTGGGTGAGGGACACTGCGGAGGAGATGTGTTGTGGTGAGCACTGGGTATTATGCAAGACTGATGAATCACAGACCTGTACCCCTGAAACAAATAAGACATTATATGTTAATTAATTGAATTTAGATTTTAAAAAAACCTTAAAGGATGTAAACTTAAGAGTTAAATAAGTTATAATTACAAGCAAAGTTAATAAATACCAAAAAAAAAAAAAAAAGCTAGTGTTTTAAAGCTTAAGTGAGAAAGGCAAGTTGAAAGCAGAGAAAGGCTGAAAGCTGGGCCTCTTGTGCCTCTTTGTGAACGCAAAGGAAAAGTTCTTGAGGGAAACTAAGTGCCTCTCCAGTGAACACGCAAAGGACAAGAAAGAGAAACAGACTTTTTGCTGACACAGAGAAAGTCTCTGGATAGAAGGTCAAACCAGCCATAACATCTCCCTTAAGTCAAAGCCTAATCCAGAGCAATGCTCCAACTACAATTCCATGAAGGCTGAGAGAGGGGAGGAAGCTGCAGAAGAAAAGTGGGAAGCCGGCAGAGGTGGATGCAGGAGGTGTGGGGGAAGAAGCTGTCTCCTTAACATCAAAGTGCCAGGTGAGGCCGCAGGTGCTGATGGAGAAGTTGCAGCAAGTTCTCCAGGAGATGGAGCTGAGATAATTCAGGAAGGCGGCCACACTGAGTAAGATTATCCGTGTAGACAAAGCAGCCTTCTATTAGAAGAAAATGCCATCTAGGACTTTCCTAGCTAGAGAGAAGTCAATGCCTGGCTTCGAAGCCTCAAAGGACAGGCTGACTCTCTTGTTAGGGGTACATGCAGCTGGTGACTTTAGGTTGAATGCTCATTTTCCATTCTGCAAATCCTAGGGACCCTAAGAATGACAATAAATCTCTGCCTGTGCTCTATAAATGGAACTACAAAGTATGGATGACAGCACATCTGCTTACGCATGGTTTACTGAATATTTTAAGCCTACCGTTGAGACCACTGCTCAGAAAAAAAAGATTCCTTTCAAAATATGACTGCTTGTTGACAATGCACCTGGTCACCCAAGAGCTAGGTGACTGCTAACATAGCATTTCATGCCCGCTAACAGAGCCTGCATTCTGTAGCCCACGGATCAAGGAGTCATTTCGACTTTCAAGTCTTATTATTTAAGAAATACATTTTGTAAGACTGCCATAGACTCCTCGGATGGATCTGGGCAAAGTAAACTGAAGGCCTTCTGAAAGGATTCACCATTGTAGGTGCCATTAACAACATTCATGATTCATGGGAAGAGGTCAAAATACCAACATTAACAGAATTTGGAAGAAGTTGATTCCAACCCTCATGGAGAATGCTGACAGGTTCAAGTCACTGCAGATGTGGGAAATAGCAAGAAAACAAGAATTAGAAGTGAAGCCTGAGGATGTGACCGAATGGTTGCCATCTCATGATAAAACTTTAATGGATAAGGAGTTGCTTCTTATGCATGAGCAAAGTGGTTTCTTGAGATGGAATCTCCTCCAGGTGAAGATGCTGTGAAATTGCTGAAATGACAAAGAATTTAGAATACGGCATAAACAGAGTTGATAAAGCAGCTTCAGGGTTTGAGAAGTTGACTCCAATTCTGAAGGATGTTCTACTTTGGGTACAATGCTATCAAACAGCATCCCAGAGAAATCATTTGTGAAAGGAAGAGTCAGTCAGTGAGGCAAACTTCACTGTTGTCTTATTTTAAGAAATGGCCCCGGCCACCCCAGCCTTCAGTAGCTACTACCCTGGTCAGTCAGCATCCACTGATATCGAGGCAAGACCCCCCATCAGCAAAAATATTATGACTTGCCGAAAGCTCAGATGATGGTTAGCATTGTTTAGCAATAAAGTATTTTTATTTTTATTTTTATTTTTTTTTTTTAAAGATTTTATTTATTTATTTGAGAGAGCGAGAATGAGAGAGAGAGAGACATGAGAGGGGGGCGGGTCAGAGGGAGAAGCAGACTCCCCGCTGAGCAGGGAGCCCGATGTGGGACTCGATCCCGGGACTCCAGGATCATGACCTGAGCCGAAGGCAGTCGCTTAACCAACTGAGCCACCCAGGCGCCCAGCAATAAAGTATTTTTAAATTAAGGTATGTACCTTGTTTTTCTGATATTTGCATTAATATTAATACTACGGCACATGTAATAGACGACATTAAAGTGTAAACATAACTTTCAGGTGCACCTAGCAAAAAGTTCATTTGACTTGCTTTCCTGTGATATTTGCTTTACTGTGGTGGTCTGGAAGCAAACCCTCAGTGTCTCTGAGGTACGTCTGTACTGTTTTTTTGTTTTTTTTTTTTTTTAGTCCTTCCCAGTTTGTTTTAGGCAAGAATATTTCCTACTTCTCTCATGCCTATTCTTATATACTAGCTTACTACAGGAGAAACTTCTGTTAAAGCTATGAGGGCCATGCAGAAGTTTAGGATTAGGAGGGTTTTAGTGGATTAGGCATATTTCTTCATTAACACCAGTTCTTGGCCATACATTGGTAATACCTTTTGTATTGTGACTACCTGTAAACCTGTTAGCATCCATCTTAGACTAGGCTTTCCTTAGGACAAAGATTAACTTCTTGGCTAAAAATATGGCAACTAAAAAATAAATCAACATTATCAAAATACCGTCTGGGCCAAGTCTCTTCACTGATAACTCAAACATTACAAATGGTTTAAAAAAAAAAAGACTACATATACTAAGACAATTAAATGGATTAAAAAGAGGGATGCCTGGTTGGCTCAGTAGGTTAAGCATCTGCCTTCAGCTCAGGTTATGATCCCAGGGTCCTGGGATGGAGCCCCGCATCGGGCTCCCTGCTCAGCAGGGGAGCTCGCTTCTCCCTCTCCCTCTGCCTGCCACTCCCCCTGCTTGTGTTCTCTCTCTCTCAAAAAAAACCTCTTCGTTAGCCAATTTAATTGCCGGCTAAAACAAAACAAAACAAAACAAAAATCAATACTCTTCAAGGAATATAAGAGGATCCAGAGATCCTGCAATGAATCATTCACAATATCTAGGATATAATCCAAAGTTACTTGATATAAGACAAACCAGGAAAATGTTATCCATACTCAAGAGAAAAGATGATAATCGATAAAGACAGACCTCAACATGATTCAAATTAGAATAAACAGGATTTTAAAGCCATTACTATACCTAAGGACAAAAACTGTAAAGAAAATATGTTCAAAATGAATGAACTCGGGAAATTTTAGAGAAATAAAACTACAAAAGAGAATTAAAGGGACATGCTAGAACTAGGAAGTACAATATCTAAAACGCATTCATTGGCAAGGTTTAACAGCAGATTTGAGATGGCACAAAGAGTCTGTAAATGTGAATATAGACTGAAGGAATTATTGAATCTGAAAAACAGAAAAAAAAATTTTAAAAACGGACACAGCCTTGTGATCTGTAGAACAATGGCAAAACGTCTGATATGCATGTAATTGGAATCCCAGAAGAAGTGGAGAAAATGGGGCTGAGGAAAATTTTTTGAAGAAATAATAGCTAAAAGTTTCCCAAATTTGGTAAAAGACAGATTTACAGATTGAAGAAAGTTGGCAAACCCTGAGCAGCAGAGACACAATAAACCACACCCAAGGTACGACACAATCAAACTGCTTAAAACTAAATATAAGGAGAAAATCTTAAAAGCAGCCAGGACAAACAGACAAAAAACCAATTACATATACCATACATGGGAACAATAATATGAAGGACAGTTGGCCTCTCACCAGGAAAAATGAAGGTCAGAAAATATTGAAATGACATCTTTAAAATACTGAAGATAAAAGAAGTGAACCCAGACTTTCTATACCCAGAAAATATTCCACAAGAAAATGGGGGTGGAGAAGGACAGAATAAAGGCAAAATAAAAACATTTTCAGAAAAATGAAAACTAATCAAATTCATTACCAGTAAACTTGCACATTCAGGAAGGAATGAAGAGCACCAGAAATGGTAAATAACGTCGGCAGACGTAAAAGATGATTCTTCCTCTAAATTACGTTAATACGCATTTAGCTGTTTAAAGCACAAGTTGTAACACTGTACTGTTCTTATATTTTACATGAAAAGGTCCAACATTAATTTTAAGAAAAATGACAAGTTTAGGATGTATACTGTAATCTTTCTGTCAACCATACACAAAAAAGAGGAATGCAAAGAGCTGTAGCTGAAAGGACAACAGAGAAATTAAAACGGAATTCTAAAAAATACTCAAACCCAAAGAAGGCAGGAAAAGAGGAAGAGAGAAACAGAAAAAAGTAGAACAGAAAACAAAGAGCAAAATGAAAAACAATTGGATAACTGCATTAAATGTAAATGGCTAAACACTCCATATAAAAGGTAGAGGTTCTCAGACTGGATCAAAAGGAAGACCCAACTATATGCTGTCCTCAGGAAACACAATTTCCATCAATATAAATATATAAAAGAGGGGCGCCGGGGTGGCTCAGTCCATTAAGCATCTGCCTTCGGCTCAGGTCATGGTCTCAGGGTCCTGCGATCAAGCCCCGCATCGGGCTCCCTGCTCAGCGGGGAGTCTGCTTCTCCCTCTTCCTCTGCCCCTCCCCTTGCTTGTGCTCTCTCTCTCTCTGGCAAATAAATAAATAAAATCCTTTAAAAAAAAAAAAAGAGTAATACATCATGACCAAGAGGAACAGGAGGTTGGTCTAACATTTCAGAATCAACAAATGTAATTCATCCCATTAACAGAGTAAAGGAGAAGTACCCTGGAAATATTCTATATGCCCAGCAATAGAAGAACGGATAAACATATTGCTGGAATACAGCTTAGCAATTAAAAAGCGGAAAAGGAATGGGGCACCTGGCTGTCTCAGTTGGCAGAGTATGCCCTCTTGATCTCAGGGCTGTGAGTTCAAACCCCATGTTGGGCATATAGCTTACTTAAAAAAAAAAAAAGGTAGGGGCGCCTGGGTGGCTCAGTCGGTTAAGCGGCTGCCTTTGGCTCAAGTCATAATCCCAGGGTCCTGGGATCGAGCCCTGCATTGGGCTCCCTGCTCGGCGGGAAGCCTGCTTCTCCCTCTCCCTCTGCCTGCCTCTCTGCCTACTTGCTCTCTCTCTGTATCTCTCTGCCAAATAAATAAATAAAATCTTTAAAAAAAAAAAAAGGTAAAAGAGAAGGGAAAAATCATGAATACATACAAGAACATGGGTGAGTTACAAAAACATGTTGAGTGAAAGAAGCCTTACACAGGGGAGTATTTTATGATTCTATTTACATATTAAATATCACAACAGGCAAAACCAGTCTATGGTAACAGAGGGGGAAAAAAAAAAAGGCCATCTCTGAGAACTGGGACAGGGTGATAGGAGTTTGGGTTACACAGCTTTATGCAGTTTAAACTGACCGAGGGGGAGCTGGCTGGCTCAGTCAGAAGAACATGTGACTCTTGATCCTGGGATCATGAGTTTGAGCCCCACAGTGGGTGGAGAGATTAAATAAATAAAAACTTAAAAAATAAATAAATAAATAACTGACCTAATGTACATTTCACTGTGCATAAAATTTAAAAAACCACAAATAAATATTAAAGTCTAGTTAATGGGGAAAAAAAAAAAAGTCTAGTTAATGATATGCATGCTGAAGTGTTTAGGGACAAAGTGTCCTGATGCCTGAAACTGACTCTGAAATACAGTCAGGAAAAATAAAAAGATTGTTGAAGAACTTTATATATGATAAAGCAAATTTGTTTCTTTAAGAGTTTATCTGAGAGCGAGACAGCGAGCGAGCACAAGCAGGGTGAGGGGCAGAGAGAAAAGCAGACTCCCAGCTGAGCAGGGAGCCCAATGTGGGGCAGGATCCTGGGACTCCAGGATCATGACCTGGGCCAAAGGCAGACACTTAACTGACTGAGCAACCCAGGCGCCCTGAAATACAGCAAAATGTTAACTACTGTGGAAATTAGGTGGCTACATGGGTGTTCACTGTATAATTCCTCCAAGATTTCTACAAACGGATCTTTTCAAATACAATTCCTTGCTAATATACTCCTTCAGATGTACTCTGTGAATAAATCAGATTTCCCTACATATCAGGAAGAGAGTAACCCCAGTTGTTTTAAACTTTCATTCCCTCTACATCCTTATTACAAAACACATGTGAAGCAGCTGTTAGCCTTGTATTATAGAGACAGACTTTCAGGGTTGGAATGAAGAGACACTAATACTTGCTTATACCTTAGAGTCCCAAAGTTTCTACATTCATTATCAACTTTTGTACTTCCTTAGGCTTTAGGGGATTTTAGGTTGGGAATTTCTAATCTGGCCCAATCCCTTCTTTTCTAGATATAACACATTTATTCTTCATTGGTATCCTCTTCCCAAACCAGTATATTAATATATTATGCTATAATGTACCCAATCAGGAAGGGAAGAAAAGTGGAAGTCTTCCAACCAGATGTGTAAATATATAGTCTCCCAATCTACTATATGCCATGAGGAAAAAACTGGTATTTTTTAAAAAGAAAAATGGGGAAAACTTTGTATAAAACAGTGCATACCTCTTGTTCTGCCTGATAAAGCTTGACTGTGATGTTCCTCTGGAAACCCACATCGTTGGCATCATAAAACACCCCAAGACTGGTAATAACGATTGGGTAGAGAACTCGGAAGCTCACGCTGACAACTCGGTCCTCAGAAATTCCTGATGAGGTGTCTTCAGAAAGACTGAATGCCTCAATTTCCTGGTTCAAAACTGAGAAAATAATGAGAAAAGGAGTTTTACATAACCAAACAAATATAATCTTATAATTCTTTCACAAATGGCAGTAATTAAAAAAATTCTCCAGAAATATGGCTGCTTCTAGGGAAAAACATAAATTTATCTTGAAATTTAAGAATGAAGTTTTTAGCTATATCTAGGTAAAATATTTAATTATCAGAACTACTTTAATAAATTTTTGTATGCACATGTGTGCATATATATGCCTAAACACCATAGAGGAATATTATCAAAGGCATCTATTAGGAAAGGTTCGATAAATAGGGATATTAAAAACAGTACCTAATGCAGTCATAAATAATGAGAAAATTTAGTCTTGCTCTGCAAATTCCAAAAATTCTACTTCTTGTCGGGCAATTTAAAATACTTGTGATGTCACATGACAAAAGTCCTTGAAATCACTTCCAATAACACTGAAAAATTCTATGTAATACTGATAAAAGAGAAGCACATCAAACACAGTAGTATGTCTCATCACATACTGTGTGCCATGCCCCATCGCATTTACAACTTCACAACTCCACTGTGTGGCCGTGGCATTACCTGACATCACGGGTTATGATACTGAGGCCTGGAGATGTTAAGTAACTCGCCTGAGGTCACAGAAAGTGGCAGAGTCAGGAATAAACCCCAGGTTTACGGACTTCAAACTCAGTGCTCTTTCCACTCCCCTACAGCTGCCTAAATCAAAGCCAAAAATAGTCCTTTGCAAATCATGTTTTCAATTACTATAAATGAAATCAGGACCGATTACATGAAACAGTTCACATGGCTGAGAATATCAGTGCCACTTTGTGAAATAATATAAAAACCTATTCTAAAAGATTTTATCGAAGTTCTTTGTATCTTTCAGAGCTGTGGTTTTCCAATTTTCCTGCTCACACAACCGCACCAGTTAAACACAGTTGTACACACACTCATATATCTATTTACAAAATAGACCCATATATTATTGTTACCAATATATTCAGTCTTTATAAAGATAACATTGTCTTATTTTCAGATAAACAGAAATTCAGTATTCTTCCCACACCCAGAGGATCATTTGGATCCCTACCTTCAAATTCCTAGAATGCTATTTTACACTTAGCAAAAGTTTTTTTTTTTTTAATAAACTCAGTAAATGTAAAAGATTCAAAGTATATGCATATGGGTTTAAGGCCAAGGTTAAGCACACTATAATCTAACTACCTATCTATTAAGAACAGATGTACCTTGAATTTCAAGCTACCTAGACACAGGAAATCCTGCTGCTTTGGTAATGCTATTAATCAAAACTACATATCCAGAGTATCATGATGATTAATTAATGCTCATGATGACCTTAAGGTATTGAAATAAACCTAAAATGACATTTGAGTCCTCAAAAAGATAAAATTAGGTTCAATATAAATTTAGTTACACCTATTTAAAAAAATTTGTAACCTAGGTATTACATATATGAAATTTTTCTATTAATTAATCTACTCCTTTACTATTAATGAATAACACTTAAAATAATAAAAGTCTGGTTAATTTAAGGTGAGATTTTAAAAAAAATTTGATTTGGTTTGGATTTCAAATGTAATTTGTTCTAGGCTACTCTTACATCATCAGTAATACAACATTTTATTAGGTTCATGGTCCCTTTGGGACTGCAGTGCAAGCTAATGGACCTTCTTCTCCTCAGAGAAACGAGGAGAAAGGCAATTACACATGAAATTTTACTTACAATGTTAACTAAAAGATCCTAAGTAAGAAACCTCTGCTTTACAAAATAGAGACCTGAAAATAAGGTACAATTTATTTAAAAAGCTAATTGAAGCTGAACTTTATAAAAGGCAGGTTCTTTAAAATAATATTAAGTACCTACCATGTCCCAGGAACTATTCTGAATTTTTTATATGTATCAATTTATTTCATCCTGTCAATCCCTATGAGGTAAGTACCTTTATCCCCAGTTTATAGATGGTGAAACTGAGGCACAGAGGGGGTGAATAACTGATCAACGGCCACACAACTAGAAAAGGCAGAGCCTAGATTTAAAGCCATGGGGTAACTCGGTGATGGGCATTAAGAAGGGCATGTGATGTGATGAGCACTGGGTGTTATATGCAACTGATGAATCATTGAACATTTTATCAAAAACTAATGATGTACTATACGTTGGCTAATTGAATTTAAATTAAAAAAAATAAATAAAGCCATGGAGCCTGACTCCAAAGCCCACACTCTCAATGACATCACTATCGCTGCTTCTAAGAGTAAGGTGTACATAATTATAAAGGTCTGACAAATCTTAAAATACCAGAAGTTATAATCAGCACACTTAAGACTTTGAAAACTTTAGTCTTCCTTAAAACGATAGCTGAACACAAAAGGAAATGCTGGTAAAGAAAGACATCTGCTTATACAGTTAGCAATGTCCTAAAACGGGCTCCCTAGTAACAGAGGGAACCTGATTAGGACCATCTTTCTTCATCATCAGAACTCCCACAGATCTTTAACTGTAAAGGAATACAAAATAGTACTCATTTAAAATTTTTTACTGTTTGTTTCTTTTGCAGAAGCTTATAGGCAGTAATTCTAAAAGAAAGTTGACTCACAATATTCATATCAAGGTTACTGTAAATTGACAAGATGGTGAAATCAGCAGTTATCTCAAAGTTCAAAACTCCATTATTCAGATTTATCTATGCGCAAGGAATCTCCAGATGTATCTGAATCATACCGAGGAACAAACTCTCCCGGATCCTGAAATTATATGTATCTAAAAAGACTCCTCACAGCTAAAGTCATCACTCAATCTGTCAAAAAGGATGAAAGATACATTTTGATGAAAGCTCAGTCGTAGTCTGCTAAAAACAGACCACCAGACTAGTCAGCTTAGCAAACTTCCTCAGCATCAAACTTGTACACGGAGTCACGGGACTGAGGAAAAAGACGACTCACCCGGATTCGTGATGTTGAGTAGTCTGCAGGAGTAAGGATCCTCCCTGTCTTCCACTGGCACGGCACAACCATGAGCACCTATTATGAACTTCACAAGCACACTGAAAGATGTGTTGCCATTAACATCAGATACTGATCTTCATTTTGTGCATACCCGTTTCCTCACGCCCATTTCAAAGCTTTTACTTTGAGACACAAGTATTTATTAGGATTAATTCTAACTTTATTTTTCTAGCCTAGCAAAATAGGAGCAGGCAAACTGAAAGTTGCCAGCCACCAAGCGATGGATGTGTAAGCCCTCTGCTGTAGTACTGTGTTCAAGCGAGTATGAGTATGTTTGGCCTGGCTACCAGCAAATGCTCATATCAATTAAAAACAAACTACAGTAAAGTCAGTTTCTCATGCCCCGATCTACAACATATCTGTATCTGCAATCTGCTTTATTTGCTTTCCTTTATTATAGAAGGTATTCCTTTTGCTCCAGATTAGTCTTCGTATTCAAGAGGAGGTCCTCTCCTCTCCTACACCTTACCTGTAACCCGTGGCTCCTTCCCTACACATTACAAATACAATGAATTCCTGATACTAATTTCTATTTACCTACCATCCCTTCCTTGTCTCCACCCTATCCTTTAGTGAAGTCCTACAAAGGAACGAACTAAAATTGTAGGCTCTAGCTTCTCATCTCCCACTCATTTTATGAAACAGAAATTTTGGCTTCAACACCCACCACTTATACTGAGATGTTTACCACCAATGTAACCACTGATGTGTTGCTAAGTCCACAGACAACTTTTCAGCCCTTCAATCTGTGGTTCCATAGTGCTGGTCTCCTTACAGTGCTCTCTTCCCTCCACTATGCGGCTTGCTCAGTCACCTGCACAGGCTCTTCTTCGCCAAGTCTGTCCATTAGGGCAGATTTTAAAGCAGGGCTTTGCCCTTGGGTCTATTCTCACTCTTTCTGCCTGCTCTCCCTGGACAATAGTTATTCTCAAGGCTTCTCCTACTGGCTCATGAGAGCCAACTGCTAAATTTTCAGGAATTCTGTGGGCTGGTTATTAAGAACAGCCTTTCTCAAATTACATAAACTTACAATGAAACACATTCCTTTAAAACAAAGAAAATACCCAAATTAATCATTTCTTAATTATTTCACTGTTATCTATGCTCTTGAGGTTATCTTTACGTATTATATCTGTGTGGTGGAAATAAAATGGTGCTCTACTGCGTATCTTTCCCAAGTCTGTGTTCAGAGATGCTGTGTTAGTTGGCTGAAGTTGGTCATGGCGGGAATATTTACACTATGGAAACTAGCAAACACTACAAATAAGGGTTTTATTTACTTCAAGAGATGGAGGGGAAAAAAAAGTAAATCGTTGGAGGAAAAGTCAATGAAGATTAAACTTAAAAATAGGATGTGTCTACATAGATCAATGGAACAGAATAGAGAGCCCACAGATAAACCCACAATTATATGGTCAATTAATCTATGACAATGGAGGCAAGGATTTCCAATGGGAAAAAGACAGTCTCTTCAACAAAGGGTGTTGGGAAAACAGAACAGCTACCTGCAAAAGAATGAAATGGGACCACTCTCTTACACCATAAACGAAAAGAAACTCAAAATGGATTAAAGACCTAACTCTGAGACCTAAATCCATAAAACTCTTAGAAGGGAACATTGGCAATAACTTCTCTGACATCAGCTGTAGAAACATTTTTCTAGGTATGTCTCCTCAGGCAAGAGAAACAAAAGCAAAATTAAACTACTGGGACTACATCAAAATAAAAACCTTCTGCACAGCAAAGGAAACAATCAATAAAACTAAAAACAACCTATGGAATGGAGAAGATATTTGCAAATGATATCTGATAAGGAGATAATATCCAAAATATATAAAGAACTTATACAACTCAACATCAAAAAAACAAATAATCCAATTAGAAAATGGGCAGAAGACATGAATAGACATTTTTCTAAAGATGACATACAGATGACCAACAGACAGATGAAACCATGTTCAACATCACTCATCATCACAGAAATGCAAATCAAAACCACAATGAGATACCACCTTACACTTGTTAGAATGGCTAATACCAAAAAGACAAGAAACAACAAGCGTTGGTAAGCATGTGGAGAAAAGGGAACCCTCATGCCCTGCTGGTGGGAATGCAAACTGCTGTAGCCACTGTGGAAAACAGTATGGCGGTTCCTCAAAAAATTAAAAATAGAATTACCATATGATCCAGTAATTCCACTACTGGGTATTTACCCAAAGAAAATGAAAACACGAATTCGCAAAGATATATGTACCTACTGCAACATTATTTATAGTAGGCAAGATATGGAAGCAACCGAAGTGTTCATTGACAGGATGAACGGATAAAAATGTGGTGTATACATATACAATGGAATATTACCCAGACATAAAAAAAAAGAACTTTTGCCATTTGCAACAACATGCATGGATCTATATAGAGAGTATAATGCTAAGTGAAATAATTCAGAGAAAGACATACCACATGATTTCACTTATATGTGGAATTTAAGAAACAAAACAAATGAACATAAACCAAAAAACAGACTCTTTATAATTTTTTAATTTTATATATTTATTTATTTATTTGTCAGAGAGAGAGAGAGAGAGAGCACACACAAGCAGGGAGAGCAGCAGGCAGAGGGAGAAGCAGGCTCCCTGCTGAGCAAGGAGCCCAATGCAGGACTCGACCCCAGGACCCTGGGATCATGATCTGAGCTGAAGGTAGACGCTTAACTGACTGAGCCACCCAGGCGTCCCCAAAAAATAGACTCTTAAGTACAGAGAACAAACTGGTGGTGGCTAGAAGGGAGGTGGGTGGGGGATGGGTGAATCAGGTGAAGTGGATTACGAGTACATTTATCTTGACAGTGAGTAACGTAGAGAATTGCTGAATTACTATATTGTACACCTAAAACTACTGTAACACTGTATGTTAATAATACTTGAATTAAAAATAAATAAATAAAAATTAAAAGAAAAAAGTGATGTGTCTGTAGCCATTCCATTGTGAATAGCACAAAAAACTGAGGTACTATTCTTCCACTGTTCAGAACCTGTTGCCTGATTCCAAAGAAGTCCTTGACTTTACTAAGAGTAAAGTTCTGACACATATCTCAGTTCTCACTTTAGTTTTACTCTTTAAAGAAAACATTTATGTACAAACTGCACTCTTTTGTCAACTGCAACACGTAATTGGTTACAGATACAAAAGTCTAGAACAATGGGAGCATTCCATGAGAATCAGCTCGCTACATGGAATTTATAATAAAGAGTATCGTGTATGTTATTGTTTGTCAATTATGTGCTATACATCCTTTATATCAGTAAAACTTACAGTGAACACATATGTACACACTACACATAATTATTATGTTTCAGGAAACCAGCTGGTAACTGCCTGCAGGTACCACAAACTCATATCCACAGAACTTCTCTCCCATGAAACCTGCTCTTCTCATCTAGTGTTTTTTGCCTTGATTGATGAATTCATTATTCACCAACTTAGAAAGCTAGCAATCATCCTAGTCTGCTCTTTCTCCTCTCCCTCCTCCTGTTTATTTACCTCATTTTCTTCTAAGGTCACGCTGTATTTCAGCCCCTCAGCCGCCTAACTGGGTCTCAGCAGTCCATGCCACTGTCCCCACGGCTGTTCTGCAGGGGCTGGCCACGGCCTGCCTCTGGGTTCGATGCCCTCCCTCTCTCTACCTCATAATCCCTGTCTCTCGGCCCCTCTTTCCTTCCCTAGCGCTTCCTCTCACTCACCCCCACCTCCCCTGAACCCCCCCGCCCAGGGGTTCCAGTTACTTGGAACTGTTTGGAGTTCCCCAAACACTCCAGGCTGTTTTATATCTATTTACATCTAGTTATATGTGCTATTTATATAATAGCACATATAACATTTTATGACACTATTACAACTATTTCCTATTAAACTTCAAGCTCCCATAAAGACTCAGACTATATGGCAACTATTTTTTTTTTTGGTAAGATTTTATTTGTCAGAGAGAGAGCAGAAGCAGGGAGAGGGGCAGGCAGGCAGAGGGAGAAGCAGGCTCCCTGCTGAGCAAGGAGTATATGGCAACTATCTTTGTATTCTGCCACACTGCAGTACACTACCTGCATGCAGAAGATACGGAATAGATACTTATGAAATTGGCAACTTATTAATTTTATTACAAAGGCTTTTAATTAAATAAGATCCTGGAAATATATGTGGAGTCTGGCTCCTTCAGTGAAATGCAAGATTTAAAAGTAAGCCACAGCCACAGACATGCAAACATTTTCTTTTACTAATGGCCAATTAAGGCAGAATACTATTCATAAACAACTAGCATTTAGAATAAAAGTATAAACAGAAATGAGTAAGTTTACTAATTAAATTATTGCAGATATTTACCAAATTAGTTTTTTTTTTTTAAAGATTGTATTTATTTATTTGACAGAGAGAGACACAGTGAGAGCAGGAACACAAGCAGGGGGAGTGGGAGAGGGAGAAGCAGGCTTCCCGCCTAGCAGGGAGCCTCATGTGGGACTCGATCCCAGGACCCTGGGATCATGACCTCAGCCAAAGGCAGATGCTTAAAGACTGAGCCACCCAAGCACCCATCAAATTAGTTTTTTTAAAGCCATCTTAAATACTCTTACTAGATCCACAAAATTACTCTGCCCCAAGAAGTTGTTTTTGGCTAATATCTATTTTTATACAGGTATCCCATCATTTTTATAAAACAAATCACCAAGCTTACTAAATTTAAAGCAGTAATGCTATGATGGCAAATAAATTACTGGTGACTATCTGATTGTTATTCTTCCTCATGACATTTAGTCTGAGTCATTCTCTCAATAGTTGTTGAGTGCCTTACCCTGTGCCAAGTTAGGTTCTAAGTATTGGGAATACATCAGTGAAAAAAGTTAAATTCCTGGGGTGCCTGGGTGGTTTAGTCGGTTGAGCATCCAACTCTTGGTTTTGGCTCAGGTCATGATCTCAGGTCATGGGATCAAGCCCAGTGTTGGGCTCCACGCCCAGTGTGTGGAGCCTGCTTAAGATTCTCTCTCCCTCAGGCGCCTGGGTGGCTCAGTTGGTTAAGCAACTGCCTTCAGCTCAGGTCATGATCCTGGAGTCCCAGGATCGAGTCCCACATCGGGCTCCCTGCTCAGCAGGGAGTCTGCTTCTCCCTCTGACCCTCTTCCCTCTCGTGCTCTCTCTCATTCTCTCTCTCTCAAATAAATAAATAAAATCTTTAAAAAAAAAAAAAATTCTCTCTCCCTCTCCCTCAGCACCCCCCCCCGCTTACTCATGTTCTCTCAGAATAAAATCTTAAAAAAAAAAAAAGTTAAAGTCCCTATGCTCATGAAACTATATTCTAGTGGGGAAAGACAACTTATAAATATAAAGCTAAATATAATAAACATGCTAGTTGGAAATAAGTATTATAAAGGAAAATAAAGTCAATAAGGGAGAACAGAGAGGGAAAAGGGGTTAGGTGCTATTTAATATAGGGCTGCCTCCTGCTAATGTGACATCTAAACAGAGACCTGAAAAACGTGAGACTGTGAACCATGAGGATATCCAGTGGAAGAGTGATAAAGACAGGGGAGACAGTAAGTGCAAAGGCCCCGAGGCAGAAGCACATTTAGTGCATGGAAGCACTAGTCCGTACACTAGCAGTATGGTCACCAGTGTAGGGCAAGTAGATGTAGATAAGGTCAAAGACCACAGGAAAGACTTGGCATTTTACTCTGAGCTAAAGAGAAGTCATTGGAGGGGTATGAGCAGAAAATCGACGTAATTTGACGAATTTGAGAAGCAGCACTCTGGCTGCTGCATGGGAAATAAGATATCGGGCAATAAAGGCAGAAGCAGGAAATCCAGACAGAGGCTTCTGCAGACTCCAAGTGAGAGGCAATGCGGCCTGATGGGGAGAGGGGGTGGTTCTGACAGTACTGGTAAAAGGGCGAGAGGCTGGATCCTGGGTACGATTTAAAGGTCGCACCCAGAAAACATGCTGATGGGGTGGATGAGAGAAAGAAGAAATCAAGGTAACAATGTATTATAAATTTTTAAAACTTCCTATTTTCCTGGTGCCTCAACATCCTCACAAACAGGCTATGAGCATCCTCCTCAGGTGACCTGATACACCAGCAGAGTGACAAGGCTGGTCCCTGCCACGAGATCCCCGTGGCCCTCCCCTGACTGACCTAGTGACACTCTAACACAACAATGATGTCCGCTCATGCCTTCTGCTTGTATACTCCACCATGACCCCCAGTAAAGGCATGTGCCCACTGGGCCCCGCACTCTGTCGGCTCCCCACCTGCTTGGCTGAGCCTGCTCCCTGGACGCTCCTCCTGTATGGCCGCCCCCTGTGTGGCATACTGTGCCTCCCTCTCTAGGACTTGTGAGTATAATAAATCTAATTTCATATGCCTCTCCCAGTGTCACTTCTGTGACCATGCTGGAGAGATCCTTAAAGACCCAAAAGGGGGACTTATTCCCTCATTTATAACATAGTCACCAGGGTTTTCTGTCTGAACAACTGGTGGAGAGGGGTCATTATTTTCCAAGACGGGAAAAGCTACCTAGGAAGTGCAGGTTTTGGAGGAGGTTCTGACAGCAGTGATGAGTCTGAGGCCTTTCATTTGCTGGGTAATAGGTACTATTATCACTGAGCTCATGAACTAAAGAAATCTGTCTTGAAAAGGAATGAAAGCTGCTATGAATAAGATAGGAAATCTATAAATGTTCACTACTTATGACAAGAAAATTCTGCAATCGTATAGCTACTCAGTCCCAAACATGCCAGTTTAATGCAATCCTGAGAGGGCCATCTAGAACTGCTCATCATCTGAGTGTCCTCACATAACTAAAAGTTCAACCTCCCATGCTTCTCTTCCACTAGCCCCTCACTATGTAATCTTCAGAGGCTGGTCTCACTGAGAAGACTAAGGCCCTGGGCTCTTAACCAATAACTGAGCCATTTAATATCAACATAAGATGCGCTACCAAAGCTCAATCCTTGAAGGGCAGTCAGGAAAAAGAGCTACACACAGTGTGTATTTAAAAAAAATATATAGAACAGAAAAAATTCAGTGTGTCTCTGTGAAGTTAGTGAAAAGCATATTTAGACACAAACATGTCTAAGCAGAGACCTATTCTGGAATAGAACCCTTTAAGAATTACTATTCTAGGGGCAACTGGGTGGCTCGGCTGGTTAAGTGTCCAACCCTTGATTTCAGCTCAGGTCATGACCTCAGGGTTGTGAGATCCAGCCCTGCACTGGGCTCCACACTGGGTGTGGAACCTGCTTAAGATTCTCTCTCCCTCTTCCTCTGCCCCTCCCCCTGCTCACTCTTGCTCTCTCAAAAAAAAAAAAAAAGGAATTACTAGTCTAAATCAAAGCAAAAACAAAACAAACTAGGTATCTATACATACTAATATGTTAACCAGTGAATATATTCTCCCCTAACTACCTTTCGGCTAAGAACCTTGGTTAAATTTACTTTTGTGACTCAACTATGTGGCGGGAAAGCAAAATGAAATAGCCATTTCTCCCAGGAAGAGAGGCCACATGCCTAAATTAACATCTCTGACTACCCCAAAAGAGGTTTTTCAGAACTTTTACTCAGTTAATCAGGCAGGTGCCAACTAAGAAAACCTACCGTTGACTTAAAGACGGATGTTGTATTAAATGCTTCAGCCAGGTGTTTCTTATCACATTTCGAAGTTCATGGTTATTGCGAGCTGACAACACACCAACTACCACATCATAGTGACGAGATTTCCACTGAGGAAATAAGGCCAATTGATCTAGAAATAAGCAACAGTAAATTAGAAAAGTCATGTCTCAATTACTGTTCAATATGTAACATAAAAATGTCTATTACAAAATAATACATATTCATGTGTATAGAAAATACAAAGAAATACAAAGAAAAAATATTTTAAAAATCACCCACAGGGCGCCTGGGTGGCTCAGATGGTTAAGCGTCTGCCTTCGGCTGAGGTCATGATCCCAGGGTCCTGGGATCGAGTCCCACATCGGGCTCCTTGCTCAGCAGGGAGTCTGCTTCTCCCTTTCCCTCTGCCTCTCCCTCTGCTTGTTCTCTCTCTGTCTCTCTCACAAATGAATAAATAAAATCTTTAAAAAAAAAAATAAAAAAAATAAAAATAAAAATCACCCACAGATGTACCATCCAGATAACCACTGCTAACATTTTTGGCATAGAGTTTTTTTGTCTTCCCCACATATGTATATATTTATGCTCACATAAGTACATAAATTCTTCAAAACTAACAAGATGTTTATGGTGAGAATGAGTTTGGAAAGGCAGCATGGCATAAACCATGCAATAGTAGGCAGTATGAGTCCGTTAGGCCATGACCAGAATCCTGGTTCTTTTTATGACCTACAGAAGTTCTTTAACTTCCCCCTTTTTTTTAATTAAAGATTTAAAAAGAAATTTCAAGTAATCTCTATCCCCAACACGGGGCTTGAACCCTGAGAACCCTGAAATCAAGAGTCTCATGCTCTACTGACTGAGTCAGCCACCCTGAAAAGTTAACTTCTTGAGCCTCAGTTTCCTAAACTACAAATGGGTATAGTAACACTTCTCATAGAAGTGGCTGTTGTTGTAAAAATGAGATAATGTGTATAAAGGTCCTGGTTTGATACCAAAATAGTAGGTACTCACTGGCAACCAAAAGCAACTATAACCACCACACAAATATGTGCTTTCAAAGGTGAAGGCCTACATTAACATTATAGGGGGCGCCTGGGTGGCTCGGTTGAGCAGCTGACTCTTGATTTCGGCTCAGGTCATGATTTCGGCTCAGATCATGATTTCAGGGTCGTGAAATCGAGCCCCATGTTGGGCTCTGTGCTGGGCATGAAGCCTGCTTGGGATTTTCTTTCTCCCTCTCCCTCTGCACCCCCCACTCCGGCTCTTCCTCTCTCTCTTAAAAAAAAAAAAAAATAGTAAGTTTGGGAAATAAAGCTGAAAGACTACTATGCTAGAAAGTACAAGAACCCTGATTAACACCAATAAATTCTACAGCCAGCAAACCTTGTATCACACTTACTAAATATTCCAAAGAATGAAAGAGGGAAGCAACATTTCCAGGGAGGCACAAAAAAAAAAAAAAAAAAATCAAGTGACAACTCATATGAATGGCTCATTTTTTACTGCCATAAGGTCTAATGGGCAGGATCACATTTTTTTAAAAAATTGCCCTTAGAAGACAGAAGGGAAAGATACTTTGTTTTCTATCACCAGTTTCAAAGCTGGAGTGCTACAAGCTTATATATAGCTCTGATGAGGGGCCCCTTTCACCTCTTTCTCCAATCATGGGAACTGATCCAAAATGTTTCCAAAAATAAATAATTGAAGGCCAGAGATCTTTACTACATTAAGTTCAATCCTTTTATATGCCATAGAATCCATGTATTCAGCCAAAAGACAACAAAAACATGTTGATATTTTTTCAAAGGACCAATTAAAATAATAAAAAGAAAATCTGGGAGACAGAGTCTTCTAATAGGATACCTGAAGGATATTACATTGTAACAATTCTAGGAATATAGGAATTTTTGTGTAGATACCTCTTTTTCCACAACAGACACGTTTCTAAAAAAAAAATTTAACCTAAATGAAGTAGAGATACTTGTTATTTTAGCCTACTGTGAATCCTGTACTAAAACGAATTCTTCTTTAAAGGCAGGAATTTATCTTTTTTTGTTGTTATTTTAGAGAGAGAGAGAGAGAGTGAGAGCACAAGTGGGAGGGGCAGGGAGAGGGAGAGAGAATCCCAAGCAGACTCCCCGCTGAGTGGGGGCTTGATCCCAGGGCCGTGAGATCATGACCTGAGCTGAAACCAAGAGCTGACCACCTAACCGACGACTGTGCCGCCCAGGCAGATCATAAATTCCCTAGGCAGGAATTTATCTTTAATGTAAATCCAAATTTTCCTTGACTAAGCTTGCTTATAATAGACCATATTTATTGCACACCTACAAAGTACTAAGAACTATGTATAGAGTATCAGTTTAATGCTTTGCATGTAGAGTATCATTTAATGCTCACAACCCTGAGAGGTAGGTGGGGTCAGGCTCCTTATTAAAGAAGTAAGGAAAGAGGCAAAGAGAATTCAGCAACTTCCCCTAAGGCAAACAGCTAAGATTTAATCCCTGGCAATTAACTCCATTCTTCATCACTGTTCTATTAGCACCACAGCTCCATGTAGCTCATCTGAGACTAAATTCTGATCTTTTATTTGTAACACCAGTTCAGGATGGGGAATTAGTGATAAGCAGATCACTGGAAATGCTGGTGAGCACGTTAATTTTTTTACATTCATGGCCCAGGAGCATTTTTTTTCTCAGACACAGAGAACTATACAATGAAAATTGTACCTATTGCTGGAACTAACTCTAAATGAGTCTGAATTTGGAGAATAATTTAAATGCTTATGTAAAATTGGCACTGATATCCCACTTCATCCCCACTTTTTCACAGAGAAATATTAATAGTAGGTACTTTTAGCAACAGGAATGAGGCAAATGTAGTAAGTAACCAGACATATCTGACATTGATTCTAAAACCTGCATGATACCAGTAACAAGCTATTTAAATCCCTGTGCCACCGTTTCCTAATAAAAACAAACAAACTGATACCAAAAAGTCTTCAGATAGTCTATTTCGTCCATTTCAAAATGTCTTCTGGAACAATTGAAAGCTGTAGAAGAGCAAAATCACATTTAACCAAAATGCCTCATTTACCTGACATCATCAGAAAACAAGGTTGATGCACAAAAGGAAAATCATAAAATAACTAAAACAAACCATTAAGTGCCAAATATCACTGCCTCATTTTTGGTAGAAAATCAAAATAAACCTTTGAGAAAGGGATTACATGAAAGATAATTTAACTTGTTCTTCATTGACAAAGTCTTCATGAAAAATATCTGAAATCTATCCCTTTCTCATCATTAATTCTACCCACTGCTTCAATTCGGACTCCACTGGACCATGACAGGGGTGTCCTAATGGTGAGCACTGTGTAATACGTGGAAGTGCTGAGTCACTATATGGTACACCTGAAACTACTACAACACTGTAGGTTAACTACACTGGAATTAAAATAATAACAAAAAAAGACAGTTGGGAAATTCTGAACACTAAATATTGGAAAGAATCATTAATTTTTCTAATTGTGATGACAGTTTTGTGGTTATGGTTTTTTAAAGTCTATCTCTAGAGATAGTATACTAAGACATTTATGGAAATGATAACTTATCTATCTGTGATTTGCTTCCAAATCAACCAGTGGGAAGAAGTGGGTAGGAGTGTCTATGAAAAATGGGAGTTGAAGGTGTACGGTGAGTACATAATATTTGTTATAATCTTCTACTTTTGGTATGTTTAAAGATTTTCATAATAAAAACTTAAAATATGAGGAAAAAACACCCAAGCCTGTTCTAACGGTTTATCCCTGGTTTATTCATCTCACTGCCAAACAAGATTTTTCTAAAACTTAATAAATAAAGATAAAGATGACCATGTGGCATGTGAAAATCCCACGGCTTATGGTTGCAAACTACTTTTTGATCTCATCCCACTACCAATCCTCCCTCTGCTTCTAATCCGTGTCTAAGCAGCTTCTGAGGACCTGCTTTAGTTTACATGCATTTCTCCTTTTCTTGCAGGAGAAGTGCGTGGCAGATTTTGGCCTTTGAAAAAACTTCTCCTTCCAGATATACTGAAAAATAGGTTTCTAAAGACTCAACCAAAAAACTATTAGAAATAACAAACAAATTCAGTAAGGTTGCAGGATACAAAATCAATCTATAAAAAGCAGTGGCACTTTTAGACACTAATAATGAACTATCAAAAAAAATTTCAGAAACCAATCCTATTAACAACTGGATCAAAAAGAATAAAATACCTAGGAATAAATTTAACCAAGGAGGTGAAAGAGCTGTACATTGGAAGCTGTAAGACCCTGATGAAAGAAACTGAAGAAGACACAAATAAATGGAATGATATTCTGTGCTCACGTGTTGAAAGAATATTTTTTAAATGTCCATACTACCCAAAGCAATGTACAGATTCAATGCAATGCCTATCAAAATTCTAGTGGCATTTTTCACAGAAATACATCAAACAACTCTAACATTTGTATGAAACCACAAAAGACCTTAAACAGCCACAGCAATCTCAGGAAAGAACAAAACAGAGGGCATCGTGAAGCATAAGCTGTTCTATCATCATCTAAGAGGGATGAGTACAGCAATACAGGCCTACCTCAAGAAACAAGAAAAATCTCAAATAATCTAACCTTATACCTAAAGAAGCTAGAGGAAGAACAAAACCCAAAGCCAACAGAAGGAAGGAAATAATAAATATGAGAGCAGAAACAAATGATATAGAGACCAAGAAAACAAGAGAAGAGATCAATGAAACCAGGAGCTGGTTCTTTGAAAACATCAACAAAATTGATAAAGCTTACCCAGACTCATCAAAAAAAAAAAAAAAAAAGAGAGGACTCAAATAAATACTATTAGAAATTAAGGAAGAGAAATAACCAACACCACAGAAATACAAAGGATTATAAGAAAATATTATAAGAAATTATTTGCCAACAAATTGGACAACCTAGAAGAAATGGGTAACTTCCTAGAAACATAACCTTCCAAAACTGAATTAGGAAGAAAAAGAAAATTTGGAGACTGATTACCAGCAATGAAATTGAATCCGTGATCAAAAAACCAACAACCTAAAGTCCAGGACCAGATGGCTTCATAGGTAAAT